TGATCCGTGCCTTGCAATAATCCTGTGTCAGCTCTGCAGGCAGTTCCTTTGACCTCATGGCTTTTGTTCAGGGACAGTAGGCATTGTCAGCTGTGAGGCCTTCTATATAGAGGTGTGTGCCTTTCCAAATCATGTCCAATCAATTTAATTTGATTATTCCTGGACTCCAATCAAGGTGTAGAAACAGCTCAGCAGCGATCAAGAGAAATGGGAGGTACCTGAGCTAAATTTCAAATGTTGTTGCAAAGGGTCTGAATACTTATGCCAATGTGATATTTCAGTTTTTTCTTTTTAATTTACAGACATTTCTAAAATTCTGTTTTCACTTTGTCATTATGGGGTTCTGAGTGTGGATTAATGCGAAAAAAAATTAATTTGAACAATTGTATCAGGCTGCAACATAACAAAATTGAAAAAAGTGAAGAGGGTCTGAATACTTTCCGAATGCCCTGTATATGCTTACGTTATACCAGTGTATGCACACCGTTTTAAAGTGCTGCATAGTCCCTGTTTTGGAGACCAGTTTGGTGTAGTGGTTAAGGCATCAGGCTAAAAACCGGGAGACTAGGAGTTCTAGTCCCGCCTTAGGCACAAAGCCAGCTGGGTGACCTTGGGCCAGTCACACACACTCAGCCCTAGAAAGCAGGTAAGGGCAAACCACTTCTGAAATCTTGCCAAGAAAACCGAAGGGACTTATCCAGGCAGTTGCCAGGAGTCAACACTGACTCGAAGGCACCTCCCACAAAAGTCTCTACAAGTCCTTGCATAATCACTAGCCAACACTCTGATACCAGTTGGTCCATAACTGAAAGACTGGTGGAAGTTGTCTCTCCTGCTCAAAAGAGAGTGGCTTCCAGTACATTATGTTGCACAGGTAGGTGAAAAAATACATGTAATTGATCCTTGATTTCATTACAGCATAAGTTGGGCTTGCATCTGATATGCAGTAGTCGCATATACTAATTTCATAATGGCTTCATTAACTTTGGTGTCCTTTGAAGTCTATTCTCACAGGTTCTTGTCTAGCCAGTTGAGAGTCTGGAGAATTAAAGCTCTGTGTTATCCTGTTGGCCAAGAGAGCAAGGGCTACTGAGAGGCTGCACCCTCCTGTCTCCAAGAGGAAGATCTGAGTCAGAAGAAAGGGTGGTTTTTCCAGAGTTTGCAAATAGACTTACCGTAGCTCTTCATAAATCCAAATGTTGTTAGCATTTCATAGTGCTGTTCCTACCTCATGAATGTTTGCATTATAAATTTGTTACTTTTTGAAGTGCCCCATGATGATGTAATTGCTCTATTATAACAACTGCAAAATAGTATTATGCATAATTTTGGGTAGGTGAGATAAGTCTGCAAGTGTGTCTACATTTATTTTTCTTTAGTCTTGCTGTAGGATGAGAGTTTTTTTCCTCCCCAAAACTAAGGTTTGTAAAAAAGTAAGAGTTCCCAATATTCCTAGGAGACTAAAACCCTTCATCAGCTGGTATTTTATATTTTTGCTAATCGTAGTCCTTTGAGTTGAGTTTGGCTCCTGATAACGTCATAGACACATCCATGTACTTTTCTTGCAAGAATGTGGAAGTGATTTGCCTTTCTCTGGGGTGTTTTTCAGTCCTACAGCCCCTAACAGATTTCCCAATCCAATCCTCCTCAGCTTTGTGAGCATTGCCAAAACGATTAACACTTTTCTGAAATGTTTACAAGCTGAATTTACAATAAAGTTATAGCTGGACTTTACTACTTAGTCAGCAAGGGAGGTATTAAATTGGATTGTAATCATTCTGTGCCACAGTTTAAAAAAAAAATGACATCAGCTTGTACATCAAACCCTTTATTCCAACATCTAATATCCAAGTAAATCAAACTATGTCCCCATCTGTATCTCAAGTACAGGTGCAAGTCTCGGTTCTGGGAAACCAAATCTGAGTAAAACAGGCAGCCCAGACTCTTGTTCAGCCCCCTATTCTTAAATGTTAATATTCTACTCAGACCCAAACATTCCCACTCCTCCAAGTGCCTTTCCTAAGAAACTCCAGGAATGTTCCATTACCTCCCTCACCAGTTCAGGTACTTCTACATCTATTCTATTCCTACTCCTGTATATAAAATGACTGAAGAGAGAAAATTTCAAGAATCTACCTTTCAAAATTCAAATACATGAATTTGGAAATTAAAGCTACAGCTGAATGAAGCAGCAGATACGTAACTGGGAGACTGGCTTTATAAAGGCTTTTCTCCCTAACGTTCTAGGCTAGCACTGCCTACCTGTGTGTACACACTTCAACTTCTGTTGTTCTCTGTGGTTTCAGGAAACAATAGCCAGCTCTCTTTAAATATGTTTTGCTAATCATGCCCCTATTATGGTCTGTAAGCTAAAGCCATGTTCTATCAACATGGCTGTTATTTTACACAGCAAGTATGTACCTGTCTATGGACCACACTTTGCAATGTATTTCTCTGCCTACCAAAAGTTGCTGACAAGAATAGCAGCATTAAGCCAAACTATACATGTTGAGTACGCAGTTGTATGCAAAAGCTGAAAAGAAGTTGGGTGTTTCTACAAACAATGGTTTGAAACACACAGCTCCAATGGACCATAAAATACTGACAGGAAAGAGAGAAAGGTACCACAATGGTTTGCACAGCCCCCAGACTTGAATTTTATTGAAAACCTGTGGGCAGATCTCAAGCATGCCGTCAATGCAAGGAAACCTTCAAATATTTCTGAGCTAGGAGGGTGGGGAAAACATTAGAAAAGAGGGGCTCTTAGCTGGCTACAGGAAATGTTTGGAAGCTGTTATTTCTGCCAATGGAGGAGCTACAGAGTCCTGAAGGAAGGGGTGAACAAACCTTTGCGCCTGTCACACCCACTGGTGCATTCATCTTGAATCGTGTAGCTAATATATCCTCAAATTTGCAAAAAGGTAGGTTTACTACTGCATCTAGATCAGGGTTTCTCAACCTCAGCAACTTTAAGATGTGTGGACTTCAACTCCCAGAATTCCCCAGCCAGTTGAAATCCACACATCTTAAAGTTGCTGAGGTTGAGAAACCCTGATCTAGCGATTGGGTCTGCTTCTGTTTACTTAGGGATTCACTGAAACACACAATATGACCAAGGTACCTAAACTTTTGCATACACTGCAAAACGTCTTATTATGTGGAAGGGATTTCAGATAGCTCTTACATGGCAGCTGTATTGTACAGGGGTCTCAAACTTTTTCAGGCTGTGGAATTTGTTAGGTTTTTTTCCCCCTGGAATTTCTGATCAAGAGGCAAAACCAGTGAGGGAAGATTGGTTGTGTTTGAGTGAACTTTTTTGTCAGTCTCTCATTGAACCCCATCAAATTCTCACATAACTCCAGGGTAACAATTTTAAAAAACCTGTTGAAAAAAATGGCACTTCCAAGAATTCAAGCTTTCAGAGTACACAGAATCTGTTAAAATAAAAGGAATGGCAGCAGATTTTCATCATATGCAGTGGAATATATGGGCCTGATCTTTTGTATTAAATGCTCCTAGTGATCCCAGCACCAGTAGCAGGTGGCAACATCTTGCCAACTTTGGCTGATCCTCAAAAGCTAAGCAAAGTCAGGTCCGGTTAGCACTTGGATGGGAGACCACCAGAAAATTCCAGGGCTGTAGGTTGGAAAGTAAACACACAAATACAAACTGGCAGAACACAATGACAAACTAGTGCTATACTGATACTAAGAAAACTGCATGTGCATGTTCATGTAATCACTAGAAGTCAAGCCTGACTCGAGGTTTAGCAGCAGCCACAAAACCAGGGATTAGCTCCCTATGCAAAAATACAAAATCCATTTACATTGCCTATGGACATGAACAACCATTACTGTCCACCAGCAGACAATTATCTAAAAAAATCCCCATGAAGTATCCTAGTTTCCAGCCTGTTCAAATCTGGGTTCTGTCTCTCACAGCTGTGCATTTAAGAGTGGAATTCTTCATTTTTGTCATATATTTGTAGGGTGGCTTTCTTGCTGCTGTCACCCACTGGGCTTAGGCTGAACACAGTAGTGAAACCTAACCTTCCAGTTGGAAACCAACACTATTGTTCATGGTTCCCCATCTGGAGAGAGAAAGCAAATATCTTGCTGTTATTAGATGAGAAGACAATTCTTGTTATCCAGTGCTAGGAATTTTGCAGTTGTCACATGAATGATACAACTTCAGCCTCTAGTTTCCAGAAAGTGTCACAGCCAAGCTATTCTCTTCCTACAGAATAAACCTGAAAACATGACCATTGTGCTGACAAGCATCAGTTTCATTTTATGATCTCCAAGAAAATGTTCTGAGTACATCTGTAGCTGCAAACACAATTTTTCCTTGCAGCATCAGCTTGTCTATGGTGTGGTTATACTGGATTGTCCCATAGCTAAACATTGCCAAGACCCAAACTCTTGATATCCCTAAATCCAGATGAGCAAGGATGGGTCACACCCAGATTCCCATCCCTCCAGCGACGGTATCTAGCTGAGCAGTTTAGCTCACCTGTGCCTGAAAGCTGAGCATAACAGGGAACAGACCGGCAACTTGCCATAACATTCCCAGAGAAGTAAGTAAAGAATCAACATGCAGCAATTTGTGCTAAAGTTTGACTGTTATTACAACCATGTAAAACACAGCATTTCAACATCTGTACAATCCTTTTGGATCCACATTTTAAAAAATGAATAATTTTGCTTTACCTCCCCCCTCACCTGCCATCCTAAGCATAGACACAGAAGAGAATGAAAGCAATACATCGCACAGTTCCCAAGGAAGCTGAGGGGTCAAGAGTAGCTGTTAACATGGAACGCGTTAAGACGACAACGGCAGCAGAGCTATCAAAGTGCACGAACAGACCCATCCGCTGACCTGCAGGGTGTTCCCAGTTACAACAGTGGGAAAGTATCCAGAACCCAGAGCTGAATCCCTGCCACATGGCTGGACTATTTCTGCTCCAAGAATTGGATCTGATCCATCAAGATAACATTAGACTTTAAAATGAAATACATTTTAAGCCACACACTCCATTTGGGGAATTGAGGGCGGAAGTCATTTTCCTGAGTTTCTGAAGGAATACTGGCTGTTTCTCTCACCGAGAATAAGAAGTGGAAGAATGTTTTAGATGCACTTGGTTCAAGGGCTGATCAAATGCTTTGCTTCCTTGCAGGGGCTCAGCTGCTTTGCCCCAACAATGCTCTTTAGCTCCTCCTCAAAGCAGAGATGATGCCTTCCCCATCTTAAGGGGGCAACAGCATGGGGGATAATAGCATCAAAACCAAACCTCTACAAACTGCTTCAGAGCTGCCTGACACAGGATTATTCCAAGCAAAACCAAACCAGGCATTGCTAAAATCTAGGCAGAAATTCACGTAACCCCTTTAATATAGTAACCTACTTTGTGGAAGGGTACTCTTTGGAAGTAAAAGGCCACCTCACCACTAATGCTGCCAGAATGCTGTTCCTGTCCAGCAGTGAGAACCCCAAAGTAGGGCTTCTATGATTAAACCTCAGTGGAATGCCCAAGTTGGTTCTCCTTACATCCTAATCAGAGTCTATTTAATCCTCTCATTCTTAGGCACCCAGCTGAATTCCTTAGCATGAGAGCACCCTTGAGCATTACGTTTCCTGGAATATCTGACTGTGTTGTTGAGAAACAATTTCAGTGTTTGCTCTATCCCATATCCCATTGATTTAGAAGATGGGTGGAGAAAGGTACACATGAGAAGTTTGACTGCCCCCTCCCCGTGTCACTTGTAAATTGGACCATCACCCCCAGCTTTGGATACGGTCCCAGTGCTGTTCTCGTGGGATATGCTTGTTGGTTTAGAGCAGCATGGAAATGGCATGAGGTCCAGTAACACTTACTTCCATTTGCAAAGGCTGCTTTCAGATTATCATAGGAACAAGTGGAGAAAGGGAGGAGGAAGAGGAGGAATAGATGGATTGGGCATCCAGAGGATTTAGAGAATAACTGCAGGGAGATAATTCCAAAATACTTTAGATTTGCTTTCCCTGTTTCCATTTCATTCACAGGAAGCAAATCTTTTGGCCCAGAAGTTGTACTGGGAAGCCTTAAACACTGGTTTCCAGTTTTACTTCGGCAGCTGTACTACTAGAAACTGCTATGTCTTAAAGCACATCTAAAGCTATAGTTCATTCAGGTTTTAATAGCATCTGCTCAACTGTAATCATATGAATGTCTTTTCATAATGCAGGATGCAGTGTGATATATGCCTATATGTAAAGCTATATTTGAATTGCTAACGTAAATAAGACAGGTACAATTTTAAATAATATGCACATGGGTGAGTATTCTGTCTCATCCTCTAGGCAGTAACTTCCTTCCTTTGGGAAATGATTTTCTTCTGTAACTTTACACAAGATTAATACCATTACACAAGATTAACTTCTGCAAAGTCAAATAAGTTTGTGTGTACCTGTGTTGTTCTCTGGGTTCAAAGTATTTAAGTAGATATTTCTTTCTTGGACTTCGCTCCGCTTAAAAGCCATGCTGATGAAGTAAAACTTTGTGGATAAATTCTTTTGGCATCTAGATGTGCTTCAGAGAGACTACTCAATCAAAGAATACTATACCTTTCGACCGTACGTAAGCAAATTGTGTCTTCCTTGCACCAAAATGCCATTGCCTATTCTTTTGAAGAACGGGAGCTTCCAGAGCTCTTTCACCACAGCTCAACCTCTTAGTAGAGCACTTTGCCCTCGAGTTTAAAGTCTTTGGTCCCTTTTGCAAAAACATCCCAGCCAGCAATATGTGGATGTTTTTGTGTTCTGGAGGACGCCAACGTGCTCCTATGAAGAAGCATTTGGAGAAATGCTTATTTTCCTCACCATTAAATACTCCTTTTAGTAGCTGGGAAAATGTGAATCTAATTAGCCAATGGAGTCAGCCAGGACTAAGGCAAATATGCAGAATGTGGAGTGTGCTGGCATTGCAGCTACGTGCTGAATAAGGCCTGGGAGATGAATGGGGATGTGCAGTTTTGTTTTTCAAACACCACGATTTCCTGCCAGATGCACCTCTGCTGAAGTCTCAAGCCCTGCAGGTAAACAGCAGCAGAGGAACAGGCAGCACTGCCGCTGGCCCCACAAGCCAGCAAGTCTTGCTCACGTATCAACCTCCTCCTCCTATAACTGTGGGAGAATCTGAGGAGAGCACAGCGACTGAAGGGGTCATAAGAAAGCCCTCAAAAGTGGATCTCCACCAGTCTGGGGCCCAAGAGATGTCACAGGGCAGGAGGGTAATAATGCTCCATTTTGGAGCAAGTGAAAAAGGTCCAAAATGCAACGCTATCTTCCCATGGCTCACTGGTACAACATAAGCTTATCGACAAGAGTGAGACACCAGTGGGCAAGCAAAGGGTGACAGGGGAGCGAATCGCTTGACTACCAGTTACGCAGCACTGAGGTGGCCCTGCTCTCCTTCTGCAACAGACACACGCACACACAGAGCAGCAGAAAGGAAAAGGCCCAAGCAAACGGGCTCTGCTGCTTCAAAGAAGACACCTGCACACAAAGAGGGATGCAACTTGCCCTTACAAGAATTCTGAACCCTGCCTGGTTCCAGAAATTGGACAGGTGATTATGAGCTACGGCATTTGAGCACGCTGGGAGATCTAGACCAACATTGCTTTAGCTTGGAAATCAGCTAAGCTAAAAAAACAAAGCAACGACCAAAACACCAAAAAGAAAAAAATAACCCCAGCAAAGGACATTTTCTAGTCCGGTGTTGTCTGGGTAGGTACAGAGGAGAATGTAACACAAGATAAAATATATGCATAAATTAAAAATATTCTATTGTCCAACTTCAGATGGAGCAAAGCCTGCTGCTTCCCCTTCCCAAATACAAGTTTAAAATAACACAGAACTTTTTACATGGAGTACAGTTCCCATGATCCTTGACCTATGGGTATGCAAACTGGAGCCCAGTGTCTGGATGGGCATAGAATTGCCACCCCTCTTTACAATATGCACTATGCTTCCTTTCTTAACATTAGTCTTAAGTAACACTACACCTTGCCTGCTACAATTCTTTTAATTTTCCTTTAGTTATTCCTGCAGTGTAAAATGTGTGTCACTGATTTAAGGCATGAAGGTGTTGGATGTGCATCTGACGTTGCAAAATGTAACTGATGAAAAAAAAAAAAAAAAAAAGCATGCATTGCAGAACTACAATAGTTCTGAATGTGTTACCGCACCTTATTAAAAACAAAAGGAAGCATAAATATAGAAAAACTGAAAACTCAGACTAGAAAATATTTATCATCCACCAAAAAGGATCCCATCTTTTGCTTGTTAAATTTAACTGCTACTAAAGCAGCCATGGGTTTTGCATGCTCTAAGGAAAATCTCAGATGGATTACAAGCCAAATAAAAGCTTTGGGTCTTTACCCTTGAAAGTACACCCTAAAGAAACTGAGATGCATTACTTTTACAATTGCATCACAGCTGGGGAAGTAATAGATAAACTTCATTAACGACTGTGCTCTGTGGGAATGTCTTAGCTACCAATATTTTCTCTATTTTTCCTCCTCTAATATCAGTGCAAGAACTGTTTATGAATCAACATAATACTCCTATAAGGTAAAGGGTATTTCCAATGGGCGACAATGGCATGAGGGCAAGTAAGATGTCACAACTTCTTTAGAAAGCTTTTTGTGAAGAAAGCTGTAGTGCAATTAGAAAATGAGTTCTTTGCATCCCAAGCTAATACTTGGATAAGTAGCTAAAACTTCCTGTTATAGATACTCAGAGGATCCATGCTTATAAACATGTTGAGGATGAGCAAATTTAGAAACATCTGATGGCAAACTCCAAGCAATCTACATCATTATCTTGGTTTCTCTCTGAAGCTATGTCTGTTTAACATGTTGCAAAGTTCAACTGAACGAAAAACTTGCTGGGATCTCTTTTCTCTTTAATAAATCTCATCAGTGTAAACAAGGAGGTATGGCAGGGAGAGAGGAACCAGTTTCAAAAAGGCATGCTGAATTGTCTGATTTCAGTGAAAGAACACACAAATAACAATGTGTGTTTGATATGCATAGATGCTATGAAAATTAACTTCCCTGGCATATATTATGCACAGCCTCATTTATAATAGTATATTAGCTACAGTACTAAATTGAAACAGAAAAACAACACTACTATTGCTACTGAAAAAAAAGTATTACTGGCCCAAATGTGGAATTGACTTGTCTCTTGTTTCCTAAAGTAATTCCCTTCGGACTCGCTGCTTCTCTGAAGTTTGACTTTCATTTTTCAGCTATGAGGGTTTGGAAACTGATGTTTTTAGCAGGTTAAATCTGTTAAAACATTTACCTAATGAAGAAAAAGATGAGACATACAATTCAAATACTTTGGAGAAAAACCCAGATTTTGCAAGCTCTCTGCAGGCTTTAGCTACTGGCCTGGCCTGTACTATGAACTTTGTCCTGAATTCCTGAACACATTTTGATGAGCAAAGTTATCATCTTCCTAATTTTGCTTTAGGCTCTGCCTTTCTTTCCAAACTCTTATGGATAAACATTAGGTGACCCAAATTTCCTCTTTCTCAGTAATTCTAGAATGTGACTGATTTAGACATTTGCCCCATGGGGGAACCGCTTGAACAGAAATTGTTCTCTGAAAGTGTTTTGAAAACCTTGGGTGGTAGTTTTGGTTTTTGAAATGCAGGTGAACCACCCGGAGCATTTTTCAACTTCTGAACACAATCACCGGCTGCCTCAGCTTCCCCAGCGGCAAGGTTATATTTTTCACCATCCGCTGTATGACAGTGGCTGGTCTCTGGCAAAGGGAGAGCCACTTGCTTTTTGCTCAAAAAGCCTTGCTCTGTGGCATAGGCCAAATGAAGAGGGGTGGTAGTTTTTACAATTCTGAAGGGGCTGTGCTGATCCTGCAACACAGGAGATGAAGTATGTCGGGCTTGGAGGCCTTCAGACGGCACGAGTGCATCAGGACCAAGCTCAGGTAGGATTGGCACGCTGCTTCCACCAGACAATCTTTTGTAATGTGGCAGCATGGGAAATGAGGTGAGCTGGCCAACATTTTTTGGCAGTTGTACCAAATCTGCCACTTCTTGGGTTTGCCTTTGGAGATTGTCTATTTCTCCAAATGAGGCAGACTTGGGCATAGAACACTTTAGTACTGGCGTGCAGAGCTCAGTTTGTAGTATTGAATCTGCCAGTTTCTTAGAACCGGGCACCTGTTTTCCTTCCTCATCTTCATTTTCAGAGAGGTTATCATACTGAGATACATTAGAAGGCCGTCGCTGTCCATCTTGGAACGCAGGAGAGAGAGTAGCAAGTGTTCTGACTCTACATGGCACTACTAGATTTTCTGGCAAGTCATGTGGTATAAAGAGGCTGTGTTCTGCAGTAGAAGATGATTCTGTACATGGGGGAAGATACAAATCATCTTTAAGCAATGCAGCATCTTCAGATACTAAATCTTCAGAGGAACAGGTTGTGCTCCCATGCTCAAGAGCAGCTGCATTTTGCACAGAGGGTGGTGAATCTAAGTGATGCGGTGACTCTGATCTTGATAATGATGCTGTACTATCCTGGCTGATAGAAAGGTCTACTTCCAAGGGTTGACTCTGCAATTGGGACTCCCAGACAGAGTTATCTGTTGACATGTCTGCTGTCTGAGCTTGTAACCCAGGAGAAATAACATGGTCCCTATCAACTAAAGAAATGTGTTTATCTTCCTGTAAACTACACTTCCCAGTGCTACTGCTTTTTAATGAATTATCCTTCTTACTGTCTGAAGCCACATCTTGATTTTCTCCTGTTGTCTGAATGTTATCCAGCATTATAGGATTCTCCATGGAAGAAATTTTATCAGCATTTTCTTCCACTTGGTACTCCTCAGTTTCAAACTTTTCATTTGGTGGAAGTTTATTGAAAGGATTGCAATGCATATCAGCTAGTTTATTCTGCAAGGGTGTTCCATTGTGTTCTGGAGAAGCTCTCTCATGTATTGCCATATTTGAATTATCAGTTGTTTCATTCAGGCAAGGAGGATTCTTATCTGGAGAAGATTGTATTATGGCATCTTTATCATGGCTGAAGTCACTGACAGCCGTTTTCTGACCATTACTGGCTACATTGGATTTCACTGACAGCAGATTTAGAGAAAGCTCCATCCCCAGAGCTGTTTTGGGGAATTCTTCAGATTTTGCTGCAACAAAAACGTAGAGACGTGCATTAGTCTCTTATTCTAAATCCAAGGACAATCATGAAAAGTAGATGACATGGACTTTGTTCAGTTTAAGTAATGGCAAGCAAATTAAGCATCCACAGCAACCTTCTAGGAACCAGGACCACCGGGATTAGGAGGGGATATGAGAATTGTCTCATGTTTTCTTGAACCCTTAAAAAGGAATCACATATAGTGAAGTCTATATCAAACCCTAATTTTCTTGCCCAATAAGTGTAAGTCAGATGCATATTTCCTTCCATTTTAATTTCAAATTTTATATTTGAAATTTGAGTGTAAAAACTAAATGATGAAAAAACATATTTGAGTGTTAAAATAGCTATGTCTTCTACTAAGCATTATGAAGAAAGGTGGTTCTACTGCAGCCTTCTCCAATCTGGTGCCCATGAGTTATGTTAGGTGACAGCTCCCATAATTCTAAGTGAGTGTAGCCATTGCCCCTGATTGGGCAAGGTTCCCTGAAATGGGGATTTCAGGTTGAGGAAAAAAAAAAAACCTAAAGGGATAAATGAAAGAATTTTATAATACTATGCAGATGTAGAAGTGCATATAAAGGGAATATTTTCTCCTTCTTCAATAATGGTAATGATGGAGCGACCCAATGCTGGAGGGACCCAATACATAAATCATATATAGAATCTACTGCCACAGGATGGCCCCTAGCTTAGATGGTGTTTAAAAGGAGATTCAACAGTTTCATGGAAATTATGCCTACTAATAGCCATTGCCTTCAATTACTATTGGCAACTTCCAACTTCAGAGGTAGGGAGAGAGGAACCACCCGTACGATGAGACTATTACCTTCCTACTCTAGTCTGAGTTCCTCAGAGGCAAGATTTTGGCCACTGCAAGAAACTGGATAGACTGCATGTGGATGATCTTTTCTATTCACACTGTTAACTTGCAGTTTCTCCAAAGAGCCTTAAACTGTATTATTGTGATGGCACTGAGCATTCTGGGGATTCCCAGCTTCTCACAGAATACAGTTTCATAAAACATAATTCTGGGAAGCTAATCACATCTACCTAGTTGTGTGCCATCCAAATAGCATGGTATCACAAGCCTCTGGTGCAGTATCATGTTTGGGGGCCTACAATCTGTAACAAAACCAAAGACCGTGCTATCCCAGCCACTTAGCCCAGATATCTATTCTATATCACCAATTAAAAATCAAATGCTTCTATCTCCTCCTTTTACAACAGCTTAGAGTTTAAGAGGGCTATACTCAAAACAGATAAATAAGGTTAGCAGCTGGCAACAGTGGGGAGGGGAAGCGCACGATTTTCTTCATAAGTGCTGGTACTAGCTGCACTATTGTTGAGGCTGAGTGATATAAAAATAGAGCTAAACTTTAAGAACCTCTTTTCCTCTTTGCATCTAGATGCTACTCTGCACATTACAGACCTTCAAGGATGTTGCAAAAAGCTTCAGAAATCAGTAGTGGATATTTGTGTATTTGTGTATGCATGTGGGCGTGGGGTGGGGTGGGGTGGGGGGAAGAGGCAATCATGAACAATCCCCAGACATGAAAAGGGTAACATATCTCAGAAGATAAACCTCAGTGCTGTCTAATCACTCAGGAAAATTAACCAATCAACCAATCACCTATTTAACCAAAGTCACAGAATCATGCGATTAGATCTAATGTATCAATCCTACATCATAAACAAACTACACATGCTGGAGAATCAACTCACACTACAAAATCAGTTCATAACAATGAACAATATATATGTTGTTTATTTCCCACAGATGGTATCAAATATTCCTATTTTTGTTTTTGCTGATGAGAAATATAACATGAACAACCAGTCTCTCTCTAACTCATGCCTGTAACAAAAGGATCCAATATAAATTAGGAACAGAGAGGGCATAATTTGACTTTGCAGTTGTTCAGATTCAAATATGAGTGTCTGGCCTAAAAGAATACACACAGACTAGCAGCAGCTGCATATGTAAATCACAAGACTTCAGTATATGGCAGTGTGACAAGGTCAATCAATCAACTGGTCATTTCAAAATAACAAGGAAACTTCTCCAAGAAAGCATATATGCTAACGTCCCTTTAGTGTTCCACACTCCCTTTTATTTCTGATGGGTTGATGTCTACTGCAATTGTCTTCAGATTATCTTTTAATGTTCTCTTTATTGATTACTGCCTTTTACGGTATTCAGACTGGACATTTTTATTTATTTATTTATTTATCAATCAATCAATCAATCATATTTATATAGCCGCCCATCTCACACAAAGTGACTCTGGGTGACGTACAATTAAATTAAATTAATTGCAACAAAAACCACTCATTGTTAATTTTTAGAACATAGGCATCTTTCTTACCCTAAGTAGAACAAATGTCCATACAGCTTAGTACAATCACATTCTAACAGGCAGAAGCAGTACAGGCTTTTAGACCAAAGTCTCCCTCTGCTCTGCATGGAGATGCCAGGATCTGAACCTGAGACTTCTGAATGGAAAACAAGCTCTCCACTTCTGAGCTATGATCCCATCTGTAAGAAAGCTAGATCTTGGCTTTTCCTCCAAGAGTTGATTGGGGAAATTTAGCTTTTGAAAGGATGCGGTACTTAGCAAAGAAATCTTGGGTGCAAATTCATACAATGATGCAAAATATTGCGAATTAATATGATGAAACCGGAATTATTTTTATTGAGTTTTATGGACAATGAACTAGAAAAGAAATATGGGAAACTAATATTGTATATAGTGACTGCAGCAAGATTATTGTACGCACAAAGATGGAAGAATAACGGTATACCCACAGTAGAAGATTGGATTATAAAACTGATGGAGCTTGTGGCACTGACAAAGCTGACCAGTTTGGTCAAGGAAAAAACAATAAACACTTTTCCAAAAGACTGGAAGTCTTATATGGACTTTTTGTTGAAAGAAGAAAAGACTGAATTGATGATTTATGGATCTGGGGATTAAAAAGAGTCAAAAAGGAAGCGGAAAGAATACGATGGCAATTACTCAATAGAAAGAAAGACCGAAGTCATAATTCTGTTTTTTTATTTCATTTCTTTTCCTTATTTTCTATATACAGTGGAGCAAAAAAGTATTTAGTCAGCCACCAATTGTGCAAGTTCTCCCACTTA